ACTTATATCAGGCAAAATAAACTTTAAAACCGAGACTCTATTTTGGTACCCTTTCGGTAAATACCTAATAGTGACAATGCATGCACCCAATATTTATAGCAGAATTATCAACAGTAGCCAAACTATGGAGAAAGCCCAAGTATCCATCAACTGATGAAGGTATAAAGAAGTTGTGGTGTCTGTGTGTGTGTGTGTGTGTGTGTGTATACGTATGTATATGCATATGTACATATGTGTATGTTCATATATACATACATATGATATACAATGAAATATAACTCAGCTTCAAGAAGAATGAAATCTTGCCATTTGCAACGATGTGGATGGAGCTCGAATGTATTTGCTAAGTGAAATATGTCAATCAGAGAAAGACAGATATATGATTTCACTCATGTGGAATTTAAGAAACGAAACACATGAAAACTAGGGAAGGGGGCAGGAAAAGAGAAGCGTGGTAACAAACCACAGGAGTCTCTTAATGTTAGAGAAAAAAGAGAGAAGGTTGATGGAGGGAGATGGGTCAGCGCTGGGCTAGATGGAAGACGAGTATTAAGAGAGCACTTGTTGTGACGAGCACTGGGTGTTGTATGTAAGGGATGAATCACTGAATTCTACTCCTGAATCTGAGAATGCACTGTATGTCAACTAAGACTTAAATTAAATTAAATTAAATTAAGATAAATAAATAAATAAAGCTATAATGAGATGAAGAGAGACACGATCTCATACTAAAGGGGACAGCCAAACAAGAATATCCAATGATTGTAAATTTTGATGCACCCAACATGCCATCACCAAGTATATAAAACATTTAGCAACAACCATATAGGAACTCATTTATAATAATATAACGATAGTAGAGGACTTTAACACATCACTCACATCAATGGACACAATCTATAAACAGAAAATCAACAAGGAAACAATGGCTTTGAATGACACACTGGACCAGATGAATTTAACAGATATATTCAGAACACTCCATGCTAAAATGACAGAGTACACATTCTTTTCAAGCGTACATGGGGCATTCTCCAGATGTAATCACATTCTAGGTCACAAATCAGGCCTCAACAGGTGCCCAAAGACAGAGATCAGACCAAGCATCTTTTCTGACCACAAAGCTAGGAAGTTAACCCCCCCCCCACACACACACACAAAGGAGGAAAGGAAACAAATAAAGGGAGGTTAAATCACATGCTATGAAATGAATGGGTCAAACAGGAAATCAATGAGAAAATACACTGAAACAAATGAAAATGAAAATACACTGGTAAAAACCCTTTGGAATGCGGCAAAAGCAGTCTATGATGGAAGTATATAGCAATACAGGCCTACCTGAAAGAGCAAGAAAAATCTCAAACAATCCTAACTTACAACTAAAGGAATGAGAAAAAGAACAACAGAAGGAAGGAAATAATTGAGTTTAAGGAAGAAATAAGGAATATACAAAGCAAAAATCAATGAAACCATGCGCTGGTTCTTTGAAAGCAGTAATCAACTTGAAAACCTCCTAGGCAGACTTTTCACAAAAAAGACAGAAAGGACTCAAATAAATAAAATCACAAATAAGAAGGGAGAAGTAACAGTCAACACCACAAAAATACAATTAGAAGATAATATTATGAACAACTATATGCAACAAATTGGACACTCTGAGAAAAATGAACAAATTCCTAGAAACACACAAACTACCAAAACTGAAACGGATGATACCTAAAATCTGAAAACAGAAAGATACCACATCAGTAATTTAAAAAATCTCCCCCAACACAAGAGTTCAGGGTTAGATGGCTTCAGTGATGAATTCTACCATGCGTTTAAGGAAGAAGTAATATGTATTCTCCTCGAATTATTACAAAAAATAAAAAAGAAGGAAAACTTACAAATCCATCATATGAGGCCATCATTACCCTGACACCAAAACCAGATGAAGCCTCCACTAAAACCGGAAACTGCAGCGGCGCCTGTGTGGCTCAGTCGGTTTACTGTCCAACTCTTAATTTTGGATTAGGACATTATCTTGTGGTGCATGGGTTCGAGTCCCACGTTGGGCCCTGCCATGACAGTGTGGAGCATGACCAGGATTCTCTCTCTCCCTGTCTCTCTGCCCCTCCCTCACTTTTATGTACTCTATCTAAGGAAAGAAATAAACATTTTTAAAAAATGTTAAAAGAATTTTAAGTAAAACTGCAGACCAATAGCCTGATGAGTATGTATGCAGAATTTCTCATTAACATACCTTCAAATTAAAGTCAACAATACATTAATAGAATCACTTACCATAATCCAGTGAGATATATCCCTGGGCTGAAGGGTGGTTCCACATTCACAGATCAATCAACATGATGCACCACAGTAATAGAAGAAAGGATAAGAACAATATGATGCTTTCAACAGATGCAAGAAAACCACTTGATAAAATGTCACATCCATTCATGATAAAAACCCTCAGCAAAGTACATTGAGACTCAACCTACCTGCACATAATAAAAGTCATCTATGAAAAACCCACAGCTTATCTCATCCTCAATGGGGAAAAATTGAAAGTTTTTCCTCCAAGGTCAGGGACAAGACAAGGATGACCCCTATCACCACTGTTATTCACATAGTACGGGAAATCCTAGCCACAGCACTCAGACAACAAAAAGAAATAAGAGGCATCCAAATCGGCAAGGAAGAAGTAGCACTTTTGCTATTTGGAACTGACATGATGTGCTCTATAAAAAACATGAAAGACTACCTTAAAAATTGCTAGAATTGATATATGAATTCGACAAGTCACAATATACAGAAATCAAGCTACATAGATGTATTGCATTTTTGTACACGAATCATGAATTAACACAGAGAGAAAGTAAGGGATCAATCCCATGGACAGGTTCACAAATACCACAAGATACCAGGAATATACCTAACCAAAGAGGTGAAAGACCTGTACTCTCAAGGCTATGAAACACTGATGAAAGAAATAGAAGATGACACAAAGAAATGGAAATACATTTCATGTTCATGGATGGCAAAAACAAAATATTGTTACAATGTCTACACTCCTCAAAACAATCTACACATGTAATGAAATCCCTATCACACTAACAAAAACATTTGTCACAGACCTGGAACAAATAATCTCAAAATGTATGGAATGACAAAAGTCCCCAAACTGCCAAAAAAAACTTGAAGAGGAAAAGCAAAGCTGGAGACATCACAATTCCAGACATTAGGTTATATTACAAAGCAGTACTGATCAGAACAGTATGGTACTGGCAAAACAACAACAACAACAACAACAACAACAACAACAACAACAACAACAAAACACAGAGGCATAGATGAATAGAATGGAAACCCAGAAATGAACGGACACCTATATGGTCAATTAATTCTCAACAAAGCAAGAAAGAATATCCAATGGAAAAAAAAAAAGATAGTCTTGGGACACATGAGTGGCTCAGTCATGAAAGCGTGTGATTGCGAATTCAGCTCACGTCATGATCCAGGGCAGTGCAGAGCATGCATGGGATTCTCTCTCTCCATTTCTCTCTGCCCCTGTTTTTCATGCTCTCTCTCTCTCAAAATAAATACATAAACTTAAAGTCTCCTCAACATATGGTTTTGGAAAAACTGGACAGCAACCTGCAAAACAAAACAAAACAAAACAACAATGGACCACTTTCTTAAAACATACACAAAAATAAATCCAACATGGATAAAGACCTATGTGTAAAACGTGAAACCATAAAAATCCCAGAGGATAATTAACACAGGCAGTATCTTATTTGACATTGCCTGTACAAATGTCTTTGTAGATATATCTCCTGAGGTAAGGGAAACACAAGCAAAAATAATGGGACATCGTAAAAATAAAAAGCTTCCATCACCAAGGAAATAATCAGCAAAACTAAAACACCTACAGAATGATATTTGCAAACAACATCTGATAAAGGGTTAGTGTCCAAAATATATAAAGTTATACAGCACACAAAAAATGAGAAATCCGATTAAAAATGGGTAGAAGACACGAATAGACATTTTCCCAAGGAAGACATACACGTGGCCAAGAGACACATGAAAAGATGCTCAACAATACTGATCTTAGGGGAAATTAAATTCAAAAGTACAATGAGATAATAAATCACATCTGTCAGAATGACTCAAATCAATGAATGATGAAACAGCAGTTGTTGCCAAGGATATGGGGAAAGAGGAAACCTCTTACACTGTGGGGAGGAATGCAAACTGGTGCAGCCACTCTGAAAAACATCATGGAGATTTGTAAAAACAACAACAACAACAACAACAATAACAACAAAACCTGGAAATAGAACTACCTTACGATCCAGCAATTTCACTACGAGGTATTTACACTAAGAATACAAAAATAATTCTTCAAAGGGATACATGCACCCTGATGTTTACAGAAGCATTTTCTACAACAGCCATATTATGGAAACTGCCCAAGCATCCATCAATGATGAATAAATTGAGATGTAGTATATGGAATGTAATATTATTTAGCCATAAAAGCATGAAATCTTGTCATTTGCCACGAGGTGGATAGAGGGAGAGAATGTTATGCTGGGTGAAATAAGCCTGTCAGAGAAAGACATATACCCGATGATTTCATGAACACATGGCAATAAAACAAAACAAAGGCGGGGGGGGGGGAGGAGACAGTGACAAACAGACTCTTAACTAGGAAACAAACTGAGGAGTTCCACAGTGAAGTGGGGGAATGGGTGAAACAGCTGATGGGGATTAAGAAGTACACCCAGGATGAGCACCGGGCGACTTGTGGAATTGTTGCTCTATATTGTACACCTGAAACTAATATTACACTGTACCTTTACTCACTGTAATTTAAATTAGAAGATAACATAAGGTTAATGACAGGTACAAACCAAGTTTTGTGTAGTTTTCAATCACTTCACTAGGTTGGAAAAATAACCATGAAATTTTTTAAAAAGCATGTATGATGTGGGGACAGTTTGTGCCCTTACCTCGGTCTCTGGGTCCAGCAGGACTCGGAACGTGGGTCCCAGCTCATTCTTCTAGAAGGTCCTGAGACGAGCATTTCATGGATCCACGTCCTAATTGATTGCAGCTCCCATGCTTCTGAATTTCTGTTAGGGTTTCTTCCTGGAAACAAACCTGAATCTGGAGCAAACCATCGACTGCATCTATGAGGTGATGTCGTGAGACCCCGCAATCCATGAGTCCTTTAGTAAAATACGTCTTGTTCAAAAACTGTCCTGGAAGGGGTGGAATGAAACACGGGAACAGCCCAGAAAATGCAAAGGCCTGTGCAGCTCAGCAACCAGCTTGCCCAGTGAAGCCACCCGGCGCCCCCTCCTCAGCACTCAGTACAAGACAGCCTCTCTCTGGCGACTCAGGAGATGCCAAGTTGCTGCAAAGCTCCCAAGATCTCCCCTAGGGCTGGTGGCAGAACCTGCTGCAAATGCAGCTCTGCTGTCTGTACTGAGGCGCCAGCAGAGGCCTGAGAGCAATAGAAGCCCTTCCTGCTCTGAGGTGCCCTGGGTCAGAAAAGCAGATGGTGCGCCCTCTGCTGGCTATCACTGCCCAGCAGAGGAACCCGCCCTTCCCGGTCTGTGGTGCTCGAGCTCTCTCTGCTGGCCACCATGGGAATTCCTTCAATGTTGAAGGCCCAGCTGAGAGACCAAAGGTGCTCTGAGCAACTAAGCCTGTTCTCCACATTGGGAAGGGTTGTAGTGACAGGGCCTGGAACACAAATCTTTTCTTCTCCTTTCTTGTGAATGAAGAATGAAACCGAATTTATTAACGTAATGACATCATTTTTAATGTTTTAAGCAATGTTCACAGAAAAATAGACCGCCAATTTACACATGCTGAACAAGAGGTAATTTTATTTACCACCAAAATACATAGGTTAGATAAAGAATGCACACCTTTGAGAGAGAGAGATACCGGCTTCCAGCTATGGAATGAATGAGTCCTAGGGATACAAGGGACAGCCAATGTAATGGTGTCAATCCTGTGATAATACTGTTGCATGCTTTCACAGGATAGCTACACTTGTGGTTAAGTACAACATAATGTATGGACATATGGAAGGGCTACAACGCATGCCTAAAACTAACACAACAAATGTGTGAACAATATTTCAATGAAAAATAGACATCCTTTACACTATCTTTAATTTCTCCTTCTTTGCGAATAAACTATCCTTCCTGGGGCGCTTGGGTGGCTTAGTCAGTTAAGCGTCCGACTTTGACTCAAGTCATGATTTTGCATCCATGAGTTTGAGCCCCGCGTCAGGCTCTGTCCTGAGAGCTCAGAGCCTCGAGCCTGCCTCAGATTCAGTGTCTCCCACTCTCTCCCCCCTCCCCAGCTCGGGTTCTCTCAAAAAAAGAAACATTAAAAATGAAAAATCATTCCTCATTTAGAATCTGTGAATTTCCATTTATACCAGATTCCCTAACATCACCTTCTTGATGTGGAGAGCTTATCTGAAAAGTCACTAATAATATCTTTGATGACACATATGTGACAAGGTCAGAATGCAACTTACAGGGAGCTATGAATCAGTTGTGAATTTACAGTATGTATCCTTGGCTAATATTTCCAAAGAAATGTGCTTTAGGGATACGGATGGATGAAATAATGTCCATCAGTCATATAGGTCAATGTCCTATAGGACCATTATGCCTTCAATTACTAATTGCCATCTCTTCAGAATTAAAAGAAAGCTGGGACAAGAAAATGTCTTTGAATTTGATGCAAGAGAAGACTATGGTGTTTTAAAGGGTCCACCTACCTTCTGGAATCCTCAGATTCGTTGTGGACTGGAGGATAGCAACCTATGATTAGGATGCACACCTCTAGTCCCAGAGGGAGGATATGGACCTTATTGTCAAATGTTTTTTTTTTTATCAATATTACTAGTCCACCTCTGCCAGGTCCAGACTGCCAGACCTGGGGGCAACACAATGCCTGATGGCTGGGTTCAGAACTTGAGGAAGGCCAGCTGGTGGGGGGAGGGGGGAATCCAACAGGATCTTTGAAGTTAAAGGTAGGTTGTTCATTTGAGTCCCAAATCTATCCTCCACGCATGCAAATCCAGTGACTCAGCAGAGAACCTTCAATAGGTTTTTCCTGTCCTATTTCTCATTCTGAGAATTCTGAGAAATAGAACCAGAAAATTTATTTGAAGACGCAATAGATGAAAACTTCCTTAAATCGGGGAAGAAAACAGATCCAGAAGCAGGAGGCACAAGGAACCCCCAATATATTCAGCAGAAGCAGATCCACACCAAGTCGTACAGTAATTAAAACCCCAAATGTCGTGATAAAGAAAAAATTTTCACAGCAGGAAAACAAAAGTTGACAGTTACCTACAAGGGAAACCCCATAAGGTTATCACTGGATGTATTTCAGAAGAAAGTTTGAAGCCATAAGTGAGCAGCACGGTATGGTAAAGTTGCTGCATGGAAAACATCTGCAGCCAAAGAGAGTCTGTCCACAACACTATCATTCAGATGGAAGGAGAGATCAAGAGGTTCCCAAATAAATACTCAGGGAGTGCACAACCAACAAACCACCCCTGCAAGAAATGTTAAAGGGGACTCTTTAAGTGGTAAAGAAACACTTAAAGTGACAGTATTAAAGTGCGAAACACAAAAGCAATAAAAATGAATATATCTGAAAACATCAGCCAAGGTATTCACGATATGAAAGGTTTTGAAATATGACACTACATATCTACAACACGGGGAGGAGAGGAGTAAAGAACTAGCTCAAACTTAAACAACTATCAACTTAATATAGACTTCTATATGCAGAAGTGGTTACGGACAAACCTAATAATAACCACAAATCAAATACCACTAATACATGTGCAGAGTATAAGGACAAGCAATTTCCACTGCACTACTAAATAAACCCAGAAAACCATAGAAAAGAGAAAGAGAAGAAAGGATCAGACACATTCCAACAGGGCCTGGGGCATTGAGGGAGATCGCCCTGGGACACCTCCCCACAGGGCAGGCTCTGGGGTTTACCTGCCAAAGAGCAGCACACTCTCCCTCAAGACATCCCTCTCCATGACAGAACGTGAGGCTGAGCCTCACAATTCCAGAAGAAATGAGGGATACCCATCTTTTCAATTCCAATGGCCTCTGAAGAACTTGGACCCAGGGATGTTGGAGTCTTGGGGTCATGGAACTCTGATGCCCATGATACAAGCCCTTTCTGCCCCAGCACTCAGAGCCACTTCATACATCCCCTCTCCCCTGGCCCCCCTAACCCTGTCCACATACCTGGACCAGGTCTCTACTTTCCACTTTGTACTTCCTCTTTGTCTCTGTTTCTCTCTTACCACATCTCTCTGTTTCTTCCTTTCACTCTCTAGGGAGTGGTGTAACATATGGTACCAAGCTTTGTTCTTATACATGTGAATATCCAATTTTCCCAGCACCAGTTATTCAAGAGACTACTCTTCTCCACTGTGTATTATTGACTCCCTTGTCAAATACAAGGTGTGCATGCATGGGTTTAGTTTGGGCTCTCAATTTCTGTTCCATTGTCTTGTGTGTGTGCTTATGCCAGCGACATAACTGATTTCTTTGTGTTAGAATGAAGCTTGAAATCAAGAAATGTGATACCTCCGTTTTGTTCTTTCTTGCGTTGGCTACTTGGGGTCTTTGTGTGGTTCCAAATACATTTTAGGATATGATTTTCTCATTGCATAAAAATTGCATCGGAGTCTTGATAGAGATTGCACTGAATCTCTAGAGGGCTTTGGGTAATATGGACATTGTATCTATATTAATTCCCCTGAAAGTTGGACATGAGATGGCTTTTCACTGACTTGTGTGTTCTCCTCTTTCTTTCACCCAAATTGAATTTCCTCCATTCCTGTACACAGGTTTTATAGTTTTCTGTAGAGAGATTTTTCACTTCCTTGATTAAATTTATTCCTATACATTTTATTGTTTTTGATGCTATTGTAAATGGGATTGTTTTCTTTACTTCTTCTTAGATAATTGGGTTAGTGTATAGGAAGGCTACAGAATTTGATATGGTGACTTTCTATTTTGGGACTTTACTGCATTTCTTGATTAGATATTAACAGGTTCTTTTACATTAAACTTTTTATTTCAGTCCTTTACCTTATTTAAAAAAAAAACATGTTACTTGGGAATAGCTGACACTCTATGTTACATTAGTTTCAGATGAACAACATAGTGATTGGACAAATGTATACTTTCTGCTACCCTAACACAGGTGTAGCTATCATCTGTCACGATGCATCACTACTCCAGTACCATTCTCTAGGTCCCCTATGCTATATCTTCTATCTGTGATTCATTCATTGCATAACCAGAAGCCTGCATCACCCAATCCCCTTCACAGATCTACGGCATCCTTGTCTTGTGTCTGATCTTAGTGGAAAATCTTTCACAATTTCACTACTGAGTATGACATTAGCTGTGGGCTTCACACACATGGCCTTTCTTATGTTGAGATATGTTCCTTCTACACTGAATTTTAAAGAGTTTCTTAGCACAAATGGATACCAAAATTTCTCAGAACTTTTTTTGTGTGTCTATTGACATAATCACATGAGTTTTCTTTTTATTTTTTAAAATGTATTTATTTAGTTTAAATGTATTTATGTCTTTCTTTAGTATTTATTTTTTCAAGTTTTTATTTAAATTCCAGTTGGTTAGCATATAGTGTAATATTACTTTCGGGTATAGAATTTAGTCATCATTCACTTACATACAACACCCAGTGATCCTCACTACTAGTGCCCTCCTTAGCCCATCACCCATTTAACCCATCCCCCTGCCCACCTCCCTTATAGTAACCCTCCGTTTGCTATTTATAGTTAAGAATCTTCTTTCTGGTTGATTTTCTTTCATTCAATTATGTGAGGGGTCACATTGATTGATTGGCATTTCTGAAACATCCTTCCTTTGCAGGGAAAAAACCTTTCATCACAGTCAATGATCCTTTTAATGTGATGCTGAATTTGGCTTGCCTGTACATTATTGGGAATTATTCATCTACATTCATCACGGGGATACTGGCTTATAGATTTCTGTTCAGGTAGTATCCTTCTCTGGCTTCCCACCAGGGTAATTCCAGTGTCATGAAATGAGTTTGGTGGTGTTCATTCCTTTTGAATCAGTGAGACGGCTGCTGTTAGTTCTTCTACAAATGTTTGGTCAAATTCACCAGTGAATCCACCTGGTCCTGGGCTTTTCTTCCATGGGAGAACTCTGATTACTGATTCAATTTACTTACATTGGTTATCTTCTTGTATTGATACAGTCTTCCTTTAATGGGTCTGTGCAAACCTTCTATTTCTTCCTGTACAGTCTTAGTAGGTTGTGTGTTTCTAAGAACCTATCCATTTCTTCTAGGCAGGCGGTTTGCTGGCATCTAATTTGGCCATAGTCGCCTCTTTGTCTCCTTTATGTTTCTTTGGTATAAGGCGTAATGTCTTCTCT